AAAACTGTTTTTTAATTACAGAATATGTTTAAAATGACTAAATGCTTGTTATATTTATTATCTCAAAGAAGCTTGATTGCCTCGTCAGATTCTAGTCATTCGTGTCTCATGGGTCCCTGAGTGTCAAAAATATTTTAACTAGCCACAGAAAATTCAAGAATGAGGTTAGGTCGGTGGTTAATATATTAAATTGTAGCTAAAGGACCAAAGAATATTATAAAAAACAGTTTTTTAAAAAATATAAAATTATAAAACCAAAAGCGAACTGCGCGTACATTAAAATAATTTTTTACCTTAAAATTCTGGAACGTTACACTTCAATCGCTCTTTATGCTCGGAATAATAGCTCTAAATTCGAACACCTCATGGGTAATGAACACCCCCCGGTCTCCCTTACATATTTTTATTATTTGTTTATTGCTTTTTCATGGAGAAAGCATTGTAATACCGAAATTTTTCGAACTTGATTTTTTGATGTATCTTTGTGTTTTTCGACCTCAGCAGTCCAAAAATAACATTTTTAAAAAATGTCGTTCCGTGTGTGTGTATATATACTACATTTTCTTAAATATCTTGAATACTATAAGAGCTGATTATTATTATTATTTTATTTTATTTTATTTATTTTATTATTACTATTATTTTTTTGCATTTTAAAATTTTTGAAAAATCGTTTTTTGCCTATAACTTTAAAAAAATGTTAGTACACCTACCCAAGTAGCACGATATATCAACCAGATGTCACGGTGATATCACCGGGGAATGTCACCGTGACATCAGGAAAATGTCAAAATGTCCGCCTTACGGTGATATCACACGGTGACATCGAGGTGATATCATGGTGACATCAAGGTGATATCACAGTCATATCACGGTGATAAAGAAATAGGCTGTTTCGGAAAATAATTTTTATTTCATTGATATATAAGATAAATAAAAGAGGACCCAAGTTTAATCCCTGGGGAACACCAGAAGTTGATAAAAAAGGATTAGAATAGTTGTTATTGAAACGTATAGATTAGTGTCTATTTCCTAGTAACTTTTAATAAGTTTTAGTAAATTATCAGGAAAGCCAAGATTTCTTAGCCTTGTCACGAGAATAACATGATCCACCCTGTCAAATGACTTAGAAAAATCTGTATATATTGCGTCGATTTGCACCCCCTTCTCCATCATCAATAATAAAAAATTTGTAAACATACCAAAGTTAGTTGTGACCTTGCTTTAACAAATCCATGTTGCTCATCTATTATAACACTAGATACAAGATTATAAGATAAATCGAATATTAAACTTTCAATATTTTCGCAATACAATTAAGAATAGTTATTCGTCTGTAGTTTTTAATATCGACATCTTTATATATTAGAATAATATTACCTTTTTTCCACTCATCTGAGAAAACAGAGCTATTGAGTGAATCATTGAATAATATATACAAAGGTTCTATGAATGACGCAGAGCATGAACGTAGGAGGAAAGGGGGTATTTTGTCTGGCCAAGCCGATTTGTGAACATCAAGGTTCTTAATCTTATCTAATATTTCATTCTTAGAGATATACATTCTTTGCGTATTAAATACAGTCTTTAATATTGGTCCATTATTAATGGGAGGTTGTATAGTAGGTAGTGTGTATAATGATTTAAAAAATTTTTCAAATAAATTACTAATGTCAGCATCGTTATTACCAGTTTCATCTCCGAGATACATTGTGTTAGGATATTGCGACGTTTTACGAGTGTGGTTAATGTGTTTCCAAAAAAAATTTACATTACTTATAATATAATTTTCAATATTACGTAGATATACAGTGTAATAAGTTATCGAAAGATTTTTACATTGTGATCTCAAGTTAGAAAAAATCAAATAATTGTAAAATATTACGAAGTTATTGATGTTAAAAATCTATTTCTGCAAATACCCAAAAAATACAACACCTTCTTAAAATTATTATAATACCAAATAAGTTACCATAAATTGATTACAAAAAATCTCCATGGGGAAGCAAAGTGTTTATTTAATGAACACAAAAAGTTCTCACTTTAACTTGGCAACGGTTTTTTTATTATTATTATTATAAATAATAATTATTAATTAAAAATTTTGTAGATATTTCATTTTGTAGATAGTGACTTTTTTAAAATTAATTCTATAAAATCTGTGAACATAGATCAATTACTTATCTTATACTCTAATTAAAATTTTTAATTTCTAATAGGACACATAAATTCAATTTTTCGTAACGAATCCAACGCTATAAACATCTCCTGTTTTATAAAATATGTTGATAGTGTTTCTTATAAAACGGACAGCAGAACAGTACACACATGAACTATTTATATAATTTAATTATTACTAATTTCATCTTTTTTAGGGTTTCGTGGGGCCGAAAGCCTTATAGTTTCGCTTTGGCGTCCGTCCTAATACCCTATTAAGGCCTTTCTCCAATAGGTTTCTAAATGTTTGCGTTGCGTGACTGACGCATTGGTTCGCAAGTGCAGTGATGTCATCAAAGCATTGATACCAATCGCGAACAAAAAGTTTGGTTTATGTTCCTCTTATCCCTGTTTTCCAACTTTACAATTTTAAATGCAAATGTTTCTCAACGGCTTTTAATAATTTTAATTATTTAATATTTATAATTAAAAAATTCAGTGTCTTAAAATCATAAACCAAACTTTTTGTTCGCAATTGGTATTAATGCTTTGATGACGTCTCTGCGCTTGCGAACCAACGCGTCAGTCACACAACGCAAACATTTAGGAACATATTAGAGAAAGGCCTTTAGGGCATCACAGTCTCCAAAGCCTGCACCGTTTCGCTTTGGCGTCCATCCGTCGTACAAACCGGAAATAAACTACACGACTTCTGAAATGTGATAGTGTAACATTTCGGATCCTCCATCCATATATTAACGTTTTGGCATCTGTATGTCTGTTTGTTCGTCGTAAAAACCTTCCTACAGAACGAAAAAGGAAGTTAACAGCATGACTTCTTACATGTGACACTGTCACATTTTGGATGCTCCACCCATATATATATATATATCTACCTATATTACAAAAAGATATCGCCGCCAACGCCGCCGCCGCCGCCGACGCCGCTGTTCCAAGACTCTGAATATAGCCGCAAGTAAAGAGAAGGGGGGTAGAAGAGAAGGGAGGGGAGGGGACTTGCGGCTATATTCAGAGTCTTAAAACGATATTAACCTCTAAATTTAGGGTGGGGGGAGGAGAAAAGGAGGGGAAGAGAGGAGGGGGATGGGGGTTGGGGCGCGAAGCCGCTGCCGCTGCTGTTCTAAGACTCTGAATATAGCGGCAAGTCAAGAGAAGGGGGGTAGAAGAAAAGGGAGGGGGGACTTACTTATTACTTACTTACTTACTTACATATTCAGAGTCTTGAAACGATCTTAACCTTTACATTTAGGGTGGGGAGAGGGGAAAAGGAGGGGAAGAGAGGAGGGGGGATGGGGGTTGGCGCGCGAAGCGCGCAGGGGGCATAGCCCCCTAGTATATATATATATGGGGTAAAATTCCTGTAGCGCACTAAGTGAAAAAAAAGTTAATCGGATCGGGTTGTAACTTGCACATAGTTTAGCCCTAGGGGTGAGTAATTTAACCACGAAGTATTGTTAGGTTTTTTCAAAATTTTTTTGTTTACTTACGTAATATTTACAATTTTTAGTTAATTAATTAACTATTAAGGTTAATAAAAAATGATATATTTTACAAACAAATAAAGTAATTCTGACGTTACCAAATGAAAGTTGACAAAATTCCGCATCCAACGAGCCCTATCTGAAGTACTTTGGGTTAGTGGACTGTTAATAAACAATTGGCTAACATGGCAATTGTTTATAGAAAATCCTCTAATACAAAATAGTCCATATAGGGCTCGTTGGATGCGGAATAACGCCAGCTTTCAATTAGTACTTTAAGGATTGCAATAACTTTATTTATTTGTGAAATATTTCATTTTTTATTAACATTAATTAATTAATTAATTAACATCTCAAAAATAACAAAAAAAGGACATCTTAATATTTTTTGTGGTGAAAATACACATTTTTTGCTTTCAAAAAAAAATAAAAAAAATAGAAAGTGACCGAACTTAAAAAAAAATTCGAAAAAATGTTCAATTTTCGAAAAAAGGATAAAAATTTGAATTTTTTGAAAATTTTTTTGCACTAAATGAAAGAGCAGGAAAAAACCTTTCGAAAACATACAGGACAATCTTTTCTTCTTCTTTCTGTTTAAAAGTTTCAAGTCTTCAAATATTCACTGTTTAAATGTTTCAAAAAAATCCAACCCACTCCCTCTTCGACAGTTTTTGAAAAAACCTAACAATACTTCGTGGTTAAATTACTCACCCCTAGGGCTAAACTATGTGCAAGTTACAGCCCGATCCGATCAACTTTTTTTCCATTTAGTTCGCTACAGGAATTTTACCCCATATATATATTGATCTGAATTTAAAAAGCCACGAAACCCTAAATGTAGGCGCTTTGCGCCTGCCTCTTTTCTTCATTTTTAATAAATAAATAATACATATGCATTTGTGTAGTTTTATTACTGGAAAACACAAACTCACCACTTCGCCCCACTTTTTTTTGAAATTTGCGATTTTGACAACTTCTGTTTCGACGGCTATAATTTAATCCGTATACGGGATACGTAAAAATGATGCTCAGCAAAGTTGAAGCTAAATAATCAAGTTTTTAAATGTGAGATTATTTATTAAAATTGAGCCCTCAAGACACCGGGCTCTGGGGGATTTATCCCTGCTGTCCCCCTCTCTTGTTGGGACTGATGACAAATTAGAAAGACTAAGACATTTCCTGAATCGGAGTAGATTTCCTGCAGAATTGTCTAACACTCCTTTGTCATTCGATCAATGGGATCTTTTAACAGATTCTTACAAGACTTATTGATTAATTAATTAATAGAAAATTTTCAGTGTGATTTTGAATTAAACTAATTTAAAAATTTTTGTTTAACAGGTATTCTTTGTTTTAAGGAAGAAAGATAATCAAGTATCATTTTTACATGTTTATCATCACACAATAACAGCACTGTTTTCATGGTGCTATTTGAAACTACTTCCTGGTGAACAAGGAATTGTCATCGGAATTTTAAATTCCATTGTTCATATAGTTATGTACAGTTATTATTTAATTGCTGCCCTCGGACCGGAATACAGAAAATATATATGGTGGAAAAAGTACATGACCTGGATTCAACTGGTAATTTATTTTTACATTTTAATATTAATTGTGCTCTGTTCCTTTTTGTCTTAATAAAATTTAAGAAACTATAATAATTTTAAACTAATATCAATAAACTAATATTTATTTTACAATTAGATTAATTCCAAGTCAGTTTAACAACAATGTTTTGTGAGTTTTTTGAGATTTAGATGTAACTTGGTATATTCTTATTCTTAAATGTTTAGCGCGAAAGTTGACTGAACATTTTACATTAAAAGGCGAAAATATTTATAAAAAATAAAAAAATGATCCCAGATTTTCTTTTATGAAAACCTTTTAATATTCAAATATACATTGACCACCATATTTGGGAGGCCAAAAAATATATTGTGCAATTTTACTTCAGAACTGCATTAGACTTAAAGTATGCACCTGATATTAAAAACATAAAGGTCAAAAATTTTATCATCTTTTTATATAATAGTTATTATTTTTTAAAAAAAAACAATGTTTACAATTTTGCTATTAAATCACTTCAGTGCCCCATATACATTAAAAACACATAACTCTTCTAAAGGCCTTTTTATTTTATAATTATCATATGAAAAAGGTTTTACAAAAAAGCAAATTTTTTTGAAAACATTTGACACAACCTAATGTAATAATTTTTTTCTAGGTACAATTTGGAATTATGCTTTGTTACCTGATGTTTATTTTAGCCCTGGATTGCTCGATGCCAAAAGCCCTAACTTACTTTTTCGCAACAAATGTTGTCATTTTCATCTATCTTTTTACTGATTTTTACAGAAAAACTTACAAGAAAAAAAAACAGGTTTAAAAATTCTTAATGCGTTTGCAAAAAAAATGATCTGTAAATTTGTACTTTTAAGAGTGAGTGAAAGATTGATTGTGCAAGAAAGAAAATGTATGAATATTTGATATAATAAAACAAACATAGTCGATTTAATAACTTTTATCATTTCTGTAAAAAAATTACTCAATTGTTTAAAATTGAGAAATAATATTAAGAATATTGCAATTAAAAATTTTGAAAATGAAATATCTGATTCATTAAATTTGTAAAAATGCTGCTTACGAAAAAATTTTAACTGGAATTTCGTAACATTATTTATTATCATAATTTGTTAACTAGTGTTATTGTTATACGTCATTAATATTAATAAGTGTAATGTAATATAGTAAAATTAAAATATCAATGTCGTTTTTAAATAAGGTTTTTCATTTCCTTATAAATGTTTTCTAAGGCATTTATATCTACATCCTTATATTGGTAGGTGTATAAAAGCTTCTACAATAGGTCCAAAATCCAAGTTTAATTCTATGTGCAATTTGCTTGTCCTTGTATGCGCACTCAACGTATTAACAGCTGTGGCATTTTATGATTGTAAATTAATTATTATCACATAATAAAACAACAGAAATATTATAAATAGATAAGGCAAATTATAGGCAGTAGCATGTGTGGGGATTTGTCGCCGTAAGAAAGAGCAATGTAGAATCTAAAAATCGCAGTTTGGCTTTTTCTAAACTGCGCCAGTGCGCAAGCGCATATTTGAAGAGTAGAATGACAAAAGGAGTCAAGCGCCAATTTCATGTTTTTCAGTAAGTGAAAATTATACAATTTAAAAAAAAGCTAGAAAATTAGTTTCTTCCTACTAAATTGACGAGTTGAATGAAAAAAATTTAATTGTTAAGAATTGAGCCGTCACGTGCAATAACAACAGGTACGCTTGGACTATATGTCCTTACCATAATATCTACTTCGCGTTTCGTAGAGGGGGACAGAATCCAGTTTTTTTTATTAGCTCGGTCTTGTTTCCACTGCGTAACTATGTAAACAGAAAACCGATGATCGAGATTCCAGTATATTATTGTTATTTTAATTATTACTGTTTTTTTTTAATATTTCCGTTTTGTTAAAAGCAATGTTTTTAACCTTATTAAATTACACAGATCTACAAAATAAGACATTTTTTTAATTGTCGGAGTGGTTTCCAATGTTTTTTTGTGTGCTGAACACGATCCCTGGTTCCAAAATTGCGTATCACGTCAGGATTTTGAGTGAACAGTGAACCCTCCGAAAACAGTGTTTTTGAGGGTTTTCATTATTTCTTTTCTTCTTCATTAGACGTGCTAGAAACTTCTATATAGGTCTAAATTAGAGCTTATATCTTACACTTTAAGACACATATACCCGGGTAGCAATTTTAGTCTGGACCAAGTCCGAAACTGATGTCGTTAGATCTGAACTAGATCTGGTTCCAGGTCTGGAACAGATCAAGTATGAAACGCGGAACAGGTATGCATCGTGTTAATGACCAGATCTGATTTCTCTGTCGGTAACCAGTTACCATAGTTTGTATGTATGTTATCGACTTTTTTTATAAAAAAGGCTTACTTTTATATTAAAATAATTATATTATAAATTAGAAAAAATTAAAAAATGTCCATTGTGATTTTTTATTTTATTCATTTATTTACAATTTACATTAAATATTGTTCAAATTACAATTATAACTAAATATAATATTTCAGCTGCTCGGAAAGCGGTAACAAAGTCATGAGAACTAAAAAAATTTTTTTTTACATTTCTTATTGTTTATTTATAGCAATTTTTAATATATGTACCCGGACTATAGAACCTACCAGGACATTTCTTATTTGAATATTTTAAAAAAGACTTGGAATCGTTAAGCTGTCTGTAAGTGTTCATGTTCTAGAATTGGTATTTTCAGTACATAAATAAGTCTTTTGTTTATGATGGCGATAGAAACTTCAGAAATATCTATGATGTGCTGATAATTTTGTGGGATAAGTCGGATAGGATATTTTGTATTAGATGCGTCTTCAATTTTTTTCAATTCTTGAATGAGAGTGAAAGGTCTTAGGATCTGAGGATGGACAATACCGTGTTTGCCATCATTTATAGCGTCTATGACCAAATTTAATTCTTCGCTTAATTCTCCTATAGCCATGCTGCAATGTGTAATAATATTAGAGATGACAAGGTTCTTTTGGTTTGTATTAGTGGCGTTAAGTATACTATTAAGTTCACTTGTCGAACCGGTAGAATGATCTTTCATGAGTTGTAGGTCGTGGGAAGTTGAACTCATCCAACTCTTTATCATTCTTGTATGGTTTCCTAAAGTTTCTGCAAGAACCTTATTATCGGCATATAAGTTGTCAAATTCATGATTTTTTAGTGTTAAATCACTTTCATCCAAAATACCAAAAAGTGTTTTTGGAAGAGAGCCAACGACATTTAAAAATCCTCGTTTCTTGCGACTAAAACCTAGCATTTGGTCCAAGATAATTTTACTATCCTCGAGTCTGTTAATCCTATTTTTTAATGCTATTAATTCTATATTCTTCGGGCAATTATCACATAATTTGAAAGCTTTCTCGTACGTTTCTCGAATTTGGATAAAGTGATCGTTAATTCCGGAAATATCTATTCCAGCTATGAGTTTCCACGCGTGATGGTAGAGTTTTGTTGTCCTAAGATTTTCAGCGTAAACACTTGTATGTTGGAGGGACTTGGTTATAATTTCTCCTATAGCATAATTAATTATAACCAGGATCCAGAAAATAATCATTTTGAGTCTGAAATTCAAAAATTATATATTTTAAGTCTATCTGCATGAATAACAATTCGATTATTATTAATTAATATTTCATAGTTATTATTGGGAAGCACTTTTATGATAACTGCGGGGCCTTTTCAATCAGGACTTAATTTATGTTCTTTTGTATTCTCTATTATCACGAGATCCCGTACAATCCTCGCATCTTGGATTCTTTTGTATTTTTCTTTTGATTTTTCGATTTGTTCTTGAGCCTTTCTAATATATCTCTCGTGTCTTTCTTGCCATAGTCTTACAAGTTCGAAATATTTTAAGCTAAGTGTCGTAGCAAGTGTTGACGGAATGTTAGCGTCTCTACCGAAAGTTAGTTCAAAAGGGCTGTATCCAGTTCCTTCGTGTTTCATGGTGTTGTACGCCATACAGATAAATTTAAGAGTTCCATCCCACTGAGTATGCAAGTCTGCCATAGCAGTCCTTATTAGATCTTTAATAGTACAATGAGACCCCTCTAAAGCGCCGTTGCTTTGAGGGTGGAATGCAGTCGTTTTTATGTGTTGGATTCTAAATAAATTTTCAAAGTTTTGCATTAATTCTGATACTAATTTTTGGCCTTGGTCTGTTAAAATATGTTTGGGTGACCCGAATATGTAAATGAAATGATCAAACAGATTTTTGATGATTGATTCAGATTGAGTGCTTTTTAAAGGAATGAGTACAAGGTACAGTGTGACCAGGCCGCAGATAGACTTGACCCCCACCATGTTTCCATCCGCACACTAACACATGCATATACATTCCCTGTATATGAGCCTCTTTTTCGTTTTCCTCTATTCGCTAGATACTATGCATGCATTTACCGGCGGTCGATTGCTTTTTGGCGCGGGAAATTTAAAATGTAGAATTATAAAAGAAATATTCTTTAGTAATTCACAATAAATATATTAAGTAAAAAATTAATTATTTATTGAAAAATGTTTTTATTATTAATTTTCAAATGTAATAAACAATAATTCCTGTATGATTATAATAATTTATTGAAATTAATTTTCAGGTTAAATAATAAATTAGATTTTAATAAAACTTTTAAATAAAATTCAAATTATTCTTTACTTTATTTTGTAAAATATACTTAAAGGGATAAAATAAAATTTAATATTAATGCTTTCAATTAAAGGGATATATGTATAATAACTATTCAATTTTATTTTATCTCTTTAATTATAATAAAAAAAAATTTAATTTTGATATTTAATGATTTTTTTTTTTTATTAAATTCTAATTTATTATTTAACTTGAAAATTATTTTCTACAAATTATTATAATCATACATTGAATTATTGTTTATCATTATTTATTTTTAAAACATGGATGAAATAATTTGTATAATAATTAATAATAAATAATTAATTAATCAATTATTAAATTAATAATAAATAATTAATTAATAAATAATTATTTTTTCTATGGTAATTTTTAATTAATTCAATTATTCTATATTATTCTATATTTTAAAACCCGTTTCCTCACCATCCAGGAGGTAGAGTTTATGGCGCGTTTTTAACCCTTTGAGGACCATTTTAAATTACATGCGTTTTTTATATTTAAAAGTACAATTATATCATGAAATGTTAGTTAAATTAAATATTTTTCTCAAAATATTTTACAAAAAAAGTAGGAAAAAATTAAATTTTGTAGATATTTTATTCAATTTTTTTTATTATTCACGTAATAATATTATCTCTGTAAAATATAATTTATATTAAAAAATTGTTTCTATTTTTGATACGTATATATGACATACATATCACCAAAATTGTGGTATGTTTTTTCGTCTCTAAATTTGTTAGTCAGGACAATAGGTGAAAATTATTTTAAAATTGTTAATTAACAATTATTTTTTCTGCTTTAAGGTCTCGTATAGATTTCAACAGCCAAAGGGGTCCACAGATGTAACCGCACCAATTAAACCAAAGAAAAGAAGACGCAATTTTTTATTTCAAAAAATATTAATTTAATTTTCAATTATAATTTTTATTTCAGTGAGAGGCAATGTGATAAATGGATGCAGCCCTCCAAAAAAGAATATGTTATGTTTCTTTTAATATTATTGTTTAATTTTATGCATTTTATTTTATTTTAGGTAAATAATAATGTACATAATAATAATGTACATGTAATGTACATTTAATGTACAGTAAAACAAAAGTCTGCATTTTTAAATACAAAGTTATCCTTATTCTTTTATTTATGCAATTATTGAGTTCTGTAAATTAATTCACTAAATTATTTATTTAGTATTTTGCATTGTATATTTATTTATTTAATTTCAGTTAAAAATTCAGACTTTTGTATTTTTGTACAGTGGAATAGGCCTAGAAACTGCAAAAATTGTCTGCTCTAAATACATTTGTTAGTAAAGCTTTTAAAGCATTAAATTTTATTCAGTAAAGACACTTAAATTACACTCAAAGAGTATAATTTAAGAGACAAGATTTTGCAGAGATTGGGGATACCACAATTACTCTTCCATAGCCAATATTTCTTTTAAATTTTTTTGAATTTTATTTCTTTCTTTTAAAAGAGATATTGTTTGTTTTGGAAAGTAAATTCTT